TGGATGGGGCTCTGTCCAGAAGGCAGGCTCAGATTGCCCCAATTCAGACTGGTAATAGAGTATGTAAGGCCTTAGGGAGGTACATGACACAAAGATTTGATCTATCAACCCCCTTTCCATCAGGAATTCCAACCCCTCTTTTGCAGAATCACCCCACCCCTCATCCAGGAACCAGATACTATAGAAATTTATCTTTATGGGGTCAGCTGTGCACTACTCTCTGTCTAAGCTAACTAAAAAAGGACAAAGCATAGCCTCCACATGGAGCATCTACCTAATATAACTGGTCTGGGAAAAGAACAACTTCCAAAACCTTGCAGAGTCCGTGACACTCAAATGTGGATATGCAAATTGGCTATGTCAAACCATAGCTCATTCTAGAATCTCATCAGGATGCCATTTAAGATTTTCTTACAACATTCCTAGTTACTTGGTGAATACCTGCCTGCCCTCTGGTCTCTCTGGAATAAAAGCTTTTGCATGGTTTGGGGAGAAGTAATAGGAAACCCAAGACTTCTTTTTTTCACCACAGATTCCAAACTTTCACCCTCACTTCTGTTCCCAATCTCATGCCTTATAGCACTCATTTCAGTTGGATGCAGAACATTTTCTACTAACACTCTGAATCAGAATCTATACTTCCAGAGAAGGTCTGTCAGTTCTCACCTAAGCCCTGTCCTTCTCTTCAAAAACAGAGAACTCTAGCTACTGAATGTGCTGGGCCATGCAGTTTTCAAATGCCGTTTCCTTATGCTGACACCTCAGATTCTCTGTAACTGTTAAAACTAATCAGGAAATGGCACATCTGGCAATTAAATAATTTACCCTCATTGTTAGCCTTCCTTGCCACTTTTCTACTCACCATGCCAAATTCCGTTAGCTGAGGTGGTGAAGTTAAGATGGCAGAGTTAAGAGGAAGCCTAATTCCTCACTAAATCTCCACAAAGATCTAGAAAACACATCAGATGGAATTCTGATTGGGAAAACTAGGAAAAAAGTCATAATGAGTCATCTTTTCAGCCCACAGAAGCTTAGGGAAACTAAATTGTCTACGCTCACTGAAGACAAGATATGTTCAGCAGCTGCTGAACAAGGAACATTCCAGTGCCCAGGTACTGGAAAAGGGCTGAGACTGCATCAGGGCAAAAAGCACCAGAGTGAAAAGGGATCCCAAGAGATGCCTGAACTAGTACAGAGTGTAAAAGGTGCCATTTGGCAGCTTTATTGCCCATTACCCATTTACAGGTTACAAATTCAGGGCAGAGAGGAGTGGCATACAACATGGACCCTAGCTGTGTTTTCAGCAAAGACAAGTTCTAGAAGCAAAATGTAGCTGTGTGGCTTTGATCTCAGGAGCAGACTGGAGACTCAGTTCCAGCCTCTAGCCCAATGTGGAAACCTGCAGGTGAAGCCAGGGCAGGAGTCCCCAGACCAAAAGGGATCCCACAGTTCAGTCACTCAACTTCCAGAGCCTCCAAATAAACTAAGTTTAGAAGTAGTCTACTGAAACTTCCAAACAAGGACAAGCTGACTGACTCAAACTTGGGTCAGGAACTTGAAGAGCTCAAAAAGTCAAGAAGTAGACAGGAAGAATAAGCAAACAAATCCTGTCAACAGAGATGGATCCAAGCTAGTCCCTTAGTGGTTTAGCTCTAATAATGGAATCAAATGAGACACTAATGGATCATTCAACAGTTAACAAAATTATGTTTAATTAGCCATAACACAGAAAGGATGCTCAATAAGAATGCAATTGTCTTGTAAAAACAAGACATCTTATATCTTCATGTGGAAATAAGTCAGGTCAGGAGAAGACAAGGTGACTCCAGTGGCCTTGGGAGTCTGAAGGGTCAGATGCTACAATAGATGTGCTTTTTTTTTATGTCTTTAGGTAGAAAACAAACATTTATTAATTGCCTATTACATGCTGGGAACTGTGCTAAATCCTTTATGACTACTGCAGCATTTTATCCTCACAATATCCCCGTGATACGGGTGCTATTATTGTCCCCATTTTACAAGGAAGAAACTGAGGTTAAATGACTTGTCCAGGATCACATTATTCTGTGAACAAGAGACCACCTCCACATGGTTTGAGGCCAACATGTAAATACTCTTGATAGCTGGACAGTTTGAGCCTTAGCCCTCTGCACCAATCAAGTCTTAGGGACAGCTTCCCAGACTTTTAGTGGGAAAAAACCCCAACAACTAGCCTAATATACTTGGGAAAGGGGTGTGAGAACCTTGGTAGATATTGAACCTATCGTACTGGCCCACTTGCTTTTCTTCACACATGAAACTTCTCTTATGAACTAATCACATCTGTAATGGCCTCTTCCAAATCTCTTACTCTTCTTATCCCTGATTTTGTTTAGACTAAATTGAGTACTCAATTAAGTCAAAACTCAATTAGGTATTCTGGCTTAAAGCATTTTCATATTAATTTACATTCACAAAGTTCTTTCTTCATGAGAGTTTTCTCCAGTATAAACAGTTCCAATGTTAAATCAGAATTATGCTTTCATGGAAGGCCTTCCCACAATCATTGCATTGCATTCATGGGGCCTCCTTCCAGGGTATTGTTTCTGATATTTGCTAAGATATATGCTATTAGGGAATGTCTTTCCACAATCATTTCATTTAAAAAGCATTAGTTTTCCTTATGTAGTCTCTGATAATGAATAAACTCTGAGCTTTGGTAGAAGTTATTTTCATATTCGTTATATTTATAAGGCTTCCCTCCATTATAAGCATCCTATTATTGAATTAAGGATGAACTCCAATGAAAGACCTTCCCACAATTATATATTTGTAAGGCTTTTCTCCTATATGAATCCTAATGTTCAGTAAGATTTTGCTATCTATGCAGATCCTTCATTATTATTATCATTTAGAATGTTTCACTAACATATAAATTCTCAGATATTGGTTAAATTGGAAGTCAGCACAAAGCCCTTCATCAATCATTGCATTTGTACAGTTTAAATCATTTGATGTTCAATGAACTACGGGCTTTACAACTTTTTTCAATAAATACATTTGTATAAAGTTCCTCTTTACTATAAATTTTCTGACGTATGAGGCTTCTCCTCTGTATGAAGTCTCTGATATCTGGTAAAGTATATTTTGATATGATCACCTATCCATAACACTTAACTTCATAAGGCTGCTCTCAAAGATGGATTCTCTGATGCCGAGTTAATTCTGAATTCCGGATGAAGGCCTTTTCACAATCACTACATTTGTAAGGCTTCTCTCCAGTATGACTTCTCTGATGCCGCGTTAATTCTGAATTCTGATTGTATGCCTTCCCACAATCATTACATTTGTAAGGCTTCTCTCCAGTATGAATTCTCTGATGTCGAGTTAATTCTGAACTCTGGGGGAAGGCCTTTCCACAACTATTACATTTGTAAGGTTTCTCTCCAGTGTGAATTCTCTGGTGTACAGTTAACTGTGAGCTCCAGTGGAAGCCCTTCCCACATTCATAACATTTATAAGGTTTCTCCCCAGAGTGAAGTCTCTGATGCAGAGTAAGGTGTACTTTGATACTGAAGGCCTTCCCACAATCTTTGCATTCATAAGGCTTTTCTCCAGTATGAATTCTCTGATGTCGAATCAAATGTGAACTTCCATGAAAGGCCTTCCCACAATCTTTACATTCATAAGGCTTTTCACCAGTATGAATTCTTCGATGTCGAATTAACCCTGAACTCCAGTAGTAGGCCTTTCCACAATCATTACATTTATAAGACTTCTCTCCAGTGTGAATTCTCTGATGTCGAGTTAACTCTGAATTCCGGTGGAAGGCTTTCCCACAATGGTTACATTTGTAAGGCTTCTCTCCATTATGAATTCTCAGATGTACAGTTAACTCAGAACTCTGATGGAAGGCCTTCCCACAATCATTACATTTAAAAGGTTTCTCTCCAGTATGAATTTTCTGATGTGCAGTTAATTTGGAACTGCGGCAAAAGGCCTTCCCACAACTGTTACATCTGTAAGGCTTCTCTCCAGTATGAATTCTCTGATGTACAGTTAACTCTGAACTCTGATGGAAGGCCTTCCCACAAACATTACATTTATAAGGCTTCTCTCCTGTGTGAATTCGATGATGTAGAGTTAACTGTGAACTCTGGTGGAAGGCCTTTCCACAATATTTACATTCATAAGGCTTCACTCCTGTATGAATTCTCTGATGCTGAATTAACTTTGAACTCCGGCGGAAGACCTTCCCACAATCATTACATTTAAAAGGTTTTTCTCCAGTATGAATTGTCTGATGTTGAGTCAATCCTGAACTCTGGTGAAAAGCTTTCCCACAATCTTTACATTCATAAGGCTTCACTCCAGTATGAATTCTTTGATGTTGAGTTAATTTTGACCTCCTGCGGAAGGCCTTTCCACAATCATTACATTTGTAAGGTTTCTCTCCTGTATGAATTCTCTGATGTTGAGTTAACCCTGAACTCTGGTGGAAGGCCTTCCCACAATCTTTACATTCATAAGGCTTCTCTCCAGTATGAATTCTCTGATGTTGAGTTAACCTTGAACTTCGGCGGAAGGCCTTCTCACAATAATTACATTTGAAAGGCTTCTCTCCAGTATGAATTCTCTGATGTAGAATTAACTGTGAACTCTTTCGGAAAGTCTTCCCACAAATATTACATTTATTGGAAGGCTCCTCTCCAGAATGAATTCTATGATGCCCACTTAATTGTGAACTCCTGCTGAAGACCTTCCCACAAAGTTTACACTTGTAAGGCTCCTCTCCAGCATGAATTCTCTGATGTACAGTTAATTGCATACTCTGGCAGAAGGCTTTCCCACAAATGTTACATTTGTAAGGATCTTTTACAGTAAGAATTTTCTGATGACCAGTTAACTGTGAACTCCTATTCAAGGCCTTCTCACAGTCTTTATGTTCATAAGGCTTTTCTCTACTATTATTTCTCCGATGGTGGTTAATGTATTTGCTAGAGGGGAATGCTGTTCCAAATATGTGGCATTCACAAGACTTCTGTCTAGTATATAGGCTCTGATGTTGGGCAAATTGTGAGCAGCAGCAGAAAACATCTTCATATTTATTAGGGTTCTCTCTAGTATGCAGAGTCAACTGTTGAGTAAGGTCTGAGCTGGAATGGAAAGCATTCCCACAATTATTACTTGAGTAAGGATACAGTATACTCTGAATTATCTGATATTCAACAATCTTTACACTTTAAGGCTTTTACAGAGATTTTCTCCAATAGGAACTCTATGGATTGCAGGTTTACCTACATGTATTATTCATAAAGTTTCTATCCAAGAAATATTCTAAATAATTGAAAAGATCTAAATTATAAATGAACACATTTTCATATTTATTATGTTCTACTTTAATTTGCTTAAGCCTAAATATTGTACAAAGGTCTATCAATGGTTATCAAATTTAAGAAGATATTTTCATATACAAATATAATCTAAAATAAATGGTTTGGCTTAGCCAGAAAATTCCTTTAAGTGATTTTTCTTACTTGCCTAGAATATTTCTCTGCATTGTTATGCTGCAGCCCCTGCAATCTAGCACAATATTCCCAGGGTTCTTCCAATTTAGAGTCATGGAAACCATCCTTTCTGAATCTTTCCTGAACTGTGTCCTTGGTTCCAGGCCTAGTTTCCCAACCTGAAAGAAATGAAAATATAAATATTCCCTATTGACTCTGCAAGCAAAATAGAGTAATTCTTATCCTCTACATAAAGTAAATCCTTAATTCTCCATTAAAAAATTGCCAAGGGGCAGCTAGCTGGTGAAATGGATAGAGCACCTGTGCTGGAGTCAGGAGGACCAGGGTTCAAATCTGGTCTCAGACCAGACACTTGACACTCACTATCTGTGTGACCCTAAGCAAGTCACTTAACTCCAACTGCCTTGCCAAAAAAAAAATTACCCACATATAACTTTTAATGTGTTATTATAAGTTCTATTCAAATTTCACATAACATTTCCTACATCTAAATTTATAGTTATTTATCTTTAATTTTCTTTCTCTACTTTATCTCTTACTGGAATTGGTATGAGGAACCTATTTATTTGGTAAGTTTATTACAGTACTTTCTTTCTCTGCCATTGGAAACATTTATTTACAAATTGCTTGGAAGCACTTTAAGAGCATTCAGTTAACTTGATCAGGACCAGGGTGTATGTTAAGTTTTGCTTTTTGTTTTGTCTTTGGAAGTTCAATTATGACTTGTTTAATTTCCTTAAAAAAGGTTAAGATTTTTAACATTTCTCAGCTTTCTTTTGATCTACATTTCTTATTTTATTAGAGATTTGTAGAAATATTTGCTACTGTTACCTTTAATGAACCAAACTTTGAGGAAAGGCTTTTGTTTTATATAATTGTGTTTGTTCTCTGTATCTCAGATAGCATGCAATTGTCCAAGATATTAGACACAAGTGAGGCATCACACTTTATCCTAATTGCTGATTGTTAATGCTAAGGCTTTTTTCAACTTCACTAAAGCAAAATGATTTATTTTTTAGTTTCTGATTGCTTCAATCTGTTATGTGCATAAGATTTTTGTCTCCAGCCATTACTGTGAGTTATTTGGTCTACGTATTTTTGATTTTGTTTAAAAGTATAATCACTAAGGTTATTTTGAACATACTGTAGTATTTTGTAGATGTTGATCTAAAAGTAATTCTAGCTAACCCATTTTCTTTCAGGTGCTCCTAGCAGTTTTTGACAAATTGCTAGTTTTTCCTCAATTATTTTTGTTCTTAGGCTTATCTAACATTGGATTGTCCAGTACTACTGCTCCTGATCTATTATTATCTAGTCTTTTTCCACTGAGATGCTCTTCCAGTTTTTAGTAAGTACCAAATGACAACTCCCAGGATTACTGTAAGAATCAGATGAGATAATTGTAGAGTGCTTGGTACAGTGCCTCACATATAGCAAGTAATATATGTAAGCTATTGTTATTATTGACTACTTCTTTCTAGCATAAGAGGAGATATAAAAGTGCTATCCTTTCCATTCATGTTTTTAAAAGCTTCTCTTTATATTCTGGAATTTTTATACCTCTGTAATTTTAAAAAAATTTTTTCTTCTTCTACAAAGTACCCCATCAGTAGTTTGATAAGCAAGAGTATTATGTCTGAATTAATTTAGGTAGTATTGTCATTTTTATTCTATTGCTCTGTCAAGCCACAGGCACTGAATATACATAAAAATAAGCAAAAAGGAGTCAATCATTCCTATTTACTGATAAAATGATGGTTTATATAGAAATTGCAAGAAAATCAACAAAGAACCACACAGCTAATACATTTGTGATCTGAACTCAGACATTTCTGACTTTGGGTCCAGCATTCTTATCTGCTCTGCCACTTAAGTGCCTCACTAAAACTAGAGAAAGAAATCAGTCAACTTTCTTAATTTCATACTGTAGGCAGAATGGTATAGCAGAAAGAGCATTGGCTCAGGAATTAGAGAATCTGGGTATAGAACTTGCCTCTGAAAATTACCACCCATGAAACTTGGGCAAGGTGCTTAACCTCTGTGTCTCAACTTCCTAATAAGTAAAACAAAGGGGTTGGCTTAGACAGCCTCTGAGGTCCCCTTATGTCTGCTATTCAATGACTAACCTGGATAGGTGCTCTTCGGTATTTCTCTGTTCTGCACCCAAGATGCATCCCCTTCTTCCAACTGAGAGATCACATCTGGTTTCCAAACCATAAGTCCTACTCATTGGAATGGCAAAAGGTTGAGAACAGAAGCTTATTCCCAATCACTATTTGGGGTAAAGGAAATGGTAAGGATGTGCAAAGGATGGTAGAAAACTCATCTAAAGAATCTTCTACATTATTTTCCAGAAATGGATGGAGAAAAGACACAGATGATTTGCCGACACAAAATAAATTACATTTGACCCAACCTTTCTAAGAAGAATGAAATTTTTTCATCTTCAGGCACCTGCACTAGAATTTTAGGGGAGAATCTTTGACCTGAATGGACAGAGAATGGAAAGAAACAAACTCAGATGTCTCACAAATAACTATCCATTTTCCATCTAAACACAGTAAAGACCTTTCACCAGGGACTAAAGAGCAGAAGAAATTAATCTATGACACCAAGAGGATTAGCAACTGGTTTCTACATGTCAAACAGTAACTCTCAAATATTTACTGTGCAGAAAATGCTGATTTATTAAGTAAGACTCCACCATGAAAGAATCAGTCATAAGGGGATGACTCTACTTACCCAAAAAGACAAGGTTCCTATAGTTCTCCAGCATCACATCCCTGTACAACTCTTTCTGGGAAGGGTCCAGGTTTCCCCATTCTTCCTGGGTAAAATACACGGCCACATCCTTGAATGTCACTGAATACTTTTGGACCTCCTGGGAGTGGTAAATATGGTAGAAATTTTAAAGGGTGGTTCTTGATATTTAGGGTTCCAAGTCAAATTCATATCAAATACCATCCATGTATCTTTCATTGCACACAGAAGAACAAGAGCAACTCATAAGCTTATTGCACATTTTATATGGGAAGTACTTCTTCCACAAAATCTCCATGAGACAGGAGAAAACTTTATTATCTTCATTTCACACATGGGAACACTGGTCCTAAGAAAGGCTAAGTGACACTATTACCTCATTACAAGAGCACAACTCATACATTTCCATCAAATGCCCAATTTATACATTTGATATAATATAATTTTGTAAATATCCAACATTAATATCAATATTACTGATTCCCAATTAGAGCTAACAATATAATCCCTTTCCATTAATAATCAAGTATAACATCTGTTGGATAATATTGTCCAGTGCTATTTCTTTCTATTTGCATGATTTCAGGGTAATTCAAACATGCTTACTACAGCACTTCCAAGATGGCAGGCTTTAATACTAATAGGTGACATTTCTATGGCATTTCAGTTAATAAACTCCCTCTAAAATGATGAGATTGGAATATATGATGAACAACTCCAGCTTTATATTCTTCTTTCTGAAGAGATTAGAATCACAGATCTAAATCTGTTAGTACTTCAGACACCATCTACTTCAACTCAATCAATTTTACAGAGGAAGAGCTAAGGGACAAGGAGACTTAATGCCTGCCTCAAACAAGATAAACCCCATTTCTTAGGTTCTAGGCCAAAGATTAAGAAACAAATATTTATTCAAGAACAAACTGAACTCACTTTGCAGCCTGGCGCTGTCAGGAATACAGGGGCCATTCCCACCCTCTTGGAGGAAGACAGAGGGCTCAGAAGGCAGAACTGGCAAAGAAAAACGACCCAAGACAGGCATTAGTCTACCTTGCCCCTCCTGCCCCACTCCCCCGCAGACAGAGGTCACGAACCACCCAGACCCCGGGGGGTTTAAGGACCGGGCACACGAGGAGCATTTGCGGCTCCAGCCCCAAACGCGCCGTGGGGGACCGCGGCGAGCCTGACCACGACGTGGCAGGCGGGTGCTCAGGCGTAGCAGAACACGCGGCTGCGCCCAGCTCTCCTTCCCTGCAGACGCGGAGCAGCGAGAGAGGCTCAAGAGCCGGCGCGGGGCGGCGAGCCCAGGAAAGGGCCCGACCAGGCACCTGCCGAGAGAATCGCCCGGCCCCGCGCTCACAAAGACCCCCGAGACAGGGCCTGGCAGCCGGCTCCGCTCAGCGCACACCCCCGATCCCCAGGGGCAGCTCGGCTCGCCAGCAGCGGCAGGAGCAGGGACAGGCCGCGGGCGACGTTGGGTTGGAGGGAGGCCCGAAGGCCCGAGGAGCACCAGCTCCCGGGTCCGGGACAGGGAAGACGGAAGACACACAAAGCAAGTCCATGAGGCCAGGTTGCCTGAGTGACAGCAGAGCGGAACCGGAAGAGACGTCAGAGCGCCCTTCCTCCCGCCCCTTCCGGCCATTCTCCCTCCACTGTCTGCACAGCCCCAGGATTCTGCACTTTGCTGGCCTGGCACCAAATGTTGCCTGGCAACAATTATCGAGGGTCCCGCCCCACCCTGAGGGAAGCAGGGTCTCGAGGGCGGATTTCCGGAAGTAGAGTCGGAACTCTGAAGAGGTTTGTGCGCATGCCTAGGACAAAGCAGGACTGCTGCTGGGACATGGTAAAGTCTTTTTTAGTCGGGGGTCTGTTTATTAAGCCTCCTTTTGGGGTGAGGCCCTGTGCCAGACCCTGGGCACACCAAGACCACACCGAAAACCCTGTCTCTACCCAAGAAGCTTCCAGGATGTGGCTGGTTCCGCTTACACCCGAATCCATGGATCCCCAGCTTCCTTCCCTGCTCAGTTGAAGTCCCTCCTCCCACGTGGGGCCTTTCCCGCTCCCACCCCAGACCTGACCACGTGGTTGCCTCGTATGTTCTCAGGGGTAACAGACCATCTTTTTGTATTCCTATCACCAAGAAAAGGTTCTTTTTTTTTATACTTTTTTTTTAAAGCACATATACTTTATTCCTTTTTTTTTTCAATTTCAATTCCTCTTTTCTCTTGCCCCTCCCCAAACCATTGAGAGGGCAAGAAAAACAAAACCCATTACAAATATGTATGGTCCCGCAAAACAGATTTCCACATTAACCATGTTCATGTACACCCACAATAAAAAAGGAAAGAAAGTATGTTTCAATACACACTGTGTCCATTCCTTCTCTGTCTGGAGGTGAATAGCCTGTTTCATTGCAAGTTCTTTGAAATTGTGCTTAGTCATGATCAAAGTTACTAAGTCAGAGTCGATTATCTCTACAATATTGTTTTTTCGTAAATTTTTGCCCTGGTTAAGATCATTTTACTTTACATCAGTTTATACAGATTCTCAAGGTTTTTCTGAAACCACCCCCTTCATCTTCTTGACAGTGCAATTTTATGCCATTACATTCATGTACTTGTTCAGCCATTCCCTAATTGATGGCAGTCTCCTCAGCTTTCAATTATTTGCTACCACAAACATGGCTGCTATAAATATTTTTGTATTGTGGCAAGAGGATTTTTCCATATTTCCTTTATGACCATCATTGCATTAAAACAGCTAGTCACATCAACTAGCTAGAGTCTGCAAAACCAAGCAGGCATCAATTACAACCCTCCTATCTGGTTATTATTGCTCTGTCTGTCTGCAAATTCCAGTTTTATCCCCTAGTATTTGTCAATCTATTATTTTGCCTAATGCAGATCTTCCTCTTCTGCCGTCACTTCTTTGATATATAAATCTTTACCTTCCTGTTTGTCCTCTGTAAAATTCTAATTGTTTCTATCCTGGCTTGTAGCTAAAACCTTTAAAAGGTTGCAGAAAATCTTATTTGGGGCCCATTGATTTTTGTCTCCACTGGAACTGCTCCAAACATATAATAAAACAGTCATCAAAATGTCCCTGCATGTTGATAAGTATAGTCAGCAGCAGTACCTATAAATGAATCCTTGAATAAATTTACATCAAAGTGATGGACCACAAAGGGTTAGGAATAATTCTTCTAGTCCAGTAACCACCCAGCACACATGGTAAAATCTACTTAGGGAAACTTCTGAGCAGAAAAACTCAGCTACAGATAAAGTTGCTATTCTTTCTAGAAAATCACAAGACAAGTTACTGGTCTGTATTGTCTGTATTTATCTCTTGAATAATCACATAAACTGTTGAATTTTAGAGTGCTTATACTGGAAGCCTCATGATCTCTCTGATTAGCATAGTGTCAGAAGGAGTTAGAAGCCAGGGCTGGGCTGAGAAACTTTGGGGTCTTAAATAGAAGAGTCTCCACTATCCCTTCTTTTTATGGTTGGATACTTGGTCTAAGACTAAGATTAGGTATTTTCCAAAGTCTGTTCCCTTTCATCTTGTTTTCCCTAAGTCAAATAAGCAAGAAAATGTTCTTTCATTTGCCATCACTGTACTGTCATGGTTACCCTCCCTGTCTACATTCATAGATAGTCTTGACCTGTTCTGATTAAAAACTGACACACCTCTGCTTTGGGTGCTCAGCAATCAATTTTGAGATCTCTTATGGTCTGGTTTGGTTACAGAGTGCAAATCTGAGATAAACCTCAACTCTACATTGGGAAGTCAGAAATCTTTTTTTGTTTTGGGTTTTTTTTTGTTTTTGTTTTTTTGTCATCAGTAATCAAGCAGTGCACCTAACGGGAGAGCTCGAAATAAAGAAAGACGTGGGCCAGGTGGGTCAGTGAAGAACTGAGCCAGTTTATTCATCTGAGAGTACAGCATATATAGAAAAAACCTAAGATAACTTCAAAGAATAATCCCCGTGAGACACTCCCCAAAACATCTGCTGAGGATGTGACAACCTACATTTCCTCGTTATCAGGGTTCCTAGATTGGGTTGTATTTTCCAAGGCTTTCCAAGGCACCTTGGTGCCACCTGCATAGAGGAGTGGTGTATATATCTAAAGGTTCAAAGAGTGAGAAGGGAATGTCTTGGGAGCCTCCCTTGCAGGGGAGATTTGGAGAGGTAGCATCTTAAATGATTGAGCCCTGTGGGTTAAGAGTGGGCAAGAGTCAAACTCTGTCCTGGATCCTAAAGCCAGATCCGACTCTTTAGAGCTGGCCCTCAACAGTTTTTTCTTTTTTTTTTTGTTTTTCGGGGTGTTTCTCAGGTTGACTTGTCTGTCATTTTTAAGTACTTCACTGTCTTGGTTAATTAGTAGTGTCAAATGCAGCTGACTGCTAGCTGACTGAAACTGACCTAGTCCCTATTCCCAGAAGGGTGAAGAGGCTGACAACAAGGGGCCCGAACCTATGCTAATGAACTTTTATTACGTCACTTCCTTTAAATTGCCTAGCCTTGGTTGGGCAATCTATTCATTCTTTCTTATTACTTGTTAAGCTGAGTTGATTGCTACTCTCAGGAACACCCTTCTTCCAAGACATATAAACTGTGAGCTCACCACCACCGTTTAAGAATGCCACTGACCTTTTTATTAATAAAATGCTAGCATTATTAATAAAATGATTGATTGCCCAAGCTTAATGTCTCTCGAACTTTTTAAATGTCGATCTTTATTCCAACAAATGTCTCCTTTTTAAATTAGCATCATATGAATTAAACTTGGTACTTTTCCCAGATGAAAACAGAAGCTCCTTAGAGATCAAAGAAGCAGTCACAAGGTTGGCCAAATAGACTGAATGCTACCAAAGATCCTCTCATGAAGATCTCCACTTTTAAGAGCTTTCCTGTCCTACTTGTTTTTTTAATTTTTAATTTTCTTAATTTTTATTTTTTTTAGGCAATTTGGGTTAAGTGACTTGCCCAGGGTCACACAGCTAGTAAGTGTCAAGTGTTTGATCCAAGGCTGGATTTGAACTCAGGTCCTCTTGACTTCAGGGCCAGTGCTCTATCCACTGCACCACCTAGCTGCCCCAACAGCAATATTTTTTTTTAACACAATAAGCTGTTAAGTAGCACTGGCTCAAAATTCTGGAAAAGCTGAAATCCATCATTTCACTTTTGCTTTCTCTGGATAACCCCTTTCCAGGAGCTCATTTTGTTTCTTACACCTGTCGACCTCCAAAATACCAAGGTTCAGGACACAGTTGTCTGGAAGGAATTCTAGGACTTAAGCAGTCTTCCAGTCAAGTGGCAAAAAGTTTATTGTAACAACAATATGGCAAGCAGAGCTCCTTGTGGAACTTGCAACCTAACAGGATGCTAAAGCTTATATGAGAAAAACTTAGTGCATTATGTGCCAACTATGCTAATTAAGTGGTAACATATAGTTTCTCTACCTTGGGCACAGGCATCATTCACTACTGGAAACCCAGAGTGGGGGAGCAGTTATCTAAGGGGTCCATAGTTTGTACATCTATGTCTGTAACAAGATAGTCTTGGGAGCTGTGGGAACCAGTACATGATAGTTCTGCTGATATAAGATAGTCCTGTTCATACAAAGGAAATTCTACAGAGGTCAGCTTGGTTTTGGAACAGGAAGAGATAGTTTGCCTCACTGGATCCATTCATTAGTCATTCTCAGAGATAGGGTCTTTGGGCTGGGGAGAGATATGGTCTTAGGGCTAGGGTCCAACCACCCCCTTCAGATGAATGAACATAAAAAGTATATTTAACTAAATACAAAGTTATTTGGTTCTGTGGACCTGAAAGTTGGTTACAGAGGCAACAAACTAGGTGATAATTAAATTCATATTGTTTATTCCCTTAACTTAAAGACATGTACATGGAGCCAGAGCTTTAACTCTGACTGCGTCAGGCCATTTTAGGAGGACATTTAAACCCTGACTCAGGCTGTCTGTGTTACTAAAAAAAAATACAGCCTCCATATGGTTTTTAACATATAGCATGAGAAAGGAAGTTTCTTAGTTGAATAGGTCATAAATACAATAAAATAGGAGAATGTCAAAGTGTCAATTGAAATTATAGATCCAGGATATCTGTATTTCCACTACATAACATATTTCCATAGGATACCAAGATAAGAAAAATCCCACTATTCAAGAGAGTGTCTGGTCCCTTAGTTATCACAAACAGGAGGAATACTGGTCAGTTTCATCTGGTCCTGTAGTTGCTGACACAGGAAAGGGTATTTTTAATTCACTCAGAGAGAAAAGATTAATTCAGGTTTTTGGCCCTCATTGGGGCTCAACTGATCTTAAATGATGATCAGTTCCTAATGTATGGATTCAGATGTTACATATTTTTATTCATCATAAATTGATAGGACACTACTCAGTTTTTCTATAATAATATTTATTGATTTCCTTTAAGTAAAACAGAGAATTGAAATCGATTTCTGGGTAATTTGAGAATTTGGGGGACACCAATAACCCCAAAATTTCTTGAATTGCCTCCTTCATTTTTGCTACTTGGTACTTGGACTTCTACCTCGCAAA